TCCTGGACTACATCAAGCGCTGCCGTCCAGGAGACAGTGAGAAGCACAACATGATCGCTCTCTGCTTCAGCATGTGCCGGGAGATTGGGGAGAACCATGAGGCAGCTGCCCACATCCAGCTGAAGCTGATTGAATCTCAGTCCTGGGGTGAGGAGAGCCGAGGGCAGCCCCCACACAGGGGGGCAGTCTGGAGGGCTCTAAGAGCTTCAGACATTAGTTGTTGACCAAGGCCCAGGCTGTTATACATGCTCAAAAACACAAAGGGGATCCTACACTGGACTGCATCGGAAATGGGAGTGGGGCTTGGAAATCCCCTTAAATTCCTCCAGGGAAGCTGTAACCTGTCTTCACAGGACACTTTCCGCCTACGTGTGCTATGGTATGAGAACCATCCTTGGTGCACCAGCAAGGGAAGAAGAGAACTCTTAACTTACTGGTTGGGAAGCTGAGTCATAACCACAAAATAAAGTTTGGGATTCCCAGCCTTTCTGTGTTTATGGCCAAAGAGCCTTTCTTAAAGCATCCTTCAGTCAATCCAGTGGATGAGGGGTAGGGCACGAGTATACCCAAGGCTACGTGGGGTACCCTTCAAATCTTTTTTTTTTAAATTTTATTCATTTATTTGTGGTGAGGTAATCGGGGTTAAGTGACTTGCCCAGAGTCACACAGTTAAGTGTCAAATGTCTGAGACAGATTTGAACTCAGGTCCTCCTGACTCCAAGGCTGAAGTTCTATCCAGTGCGCCACCTAGCTGCCCCTCAAATCTTTTCTAATGCTGCCCAGAGGAGGTAGATTAGTTCAGCATTAAGTCAGATAGAAATGAGCCCATAGAGGAATAGTTTGTGGGCAAGTTCAGATGAGTTCAAGTGCAGAGGTTTCAGGAAAACCCTGGGAGCAAAGGCAAATGGTAATTCACCCTTTTCTTTGTCCAGAGGAATGTATCAAGGATGGGCCCCAGCTGAAACAGCTGCTGCTAAAAGCCCTGACTCTGATGTTGGATGCAGCGGAGAGTTATGCTAAGGTAACCATGCAGGGCCTGTCCCAGGCAAGTCCAGCCCAGGATGGCCAGGAACCAAAGCCAGGGAAAGAAAGGATTGGCCGTTGATGGCACCAGAAAAGGGCATGGAAGAGAATACCGTCCTTTCAAGCCAAATGTCCATAAAAAAAAATATTCATTACCTTATTATCTTTCTCTCCCCCCCCACCCCCACCCCGATCCGACCTCCAGGATTCCTGCGTTCGTCAGGCTCTGCACTGTCAGCGGCTTACAAAGCTGATAACGCTACAGATTCATTTTCTAAATACTGGCCAGAACACGATGCTCATCAATCTTAACAGGCAGAATCTGACAGACTGCATCATGGCTTTGCCTCGGTTCTATCAGGTAAAACAGGGAGAAGGCTGGGGGAAGGGTGGGGGAGGATTTGAGAGAAAGAAGCCCCTGAGACCTTCAGCGCCTTCACTGTCATGCTTGTTACTGCTTAGTATCCAGAGGCCATGGCCAAGATGGTCGTTTTCGCAGGGCTGAAACTTGTAATGAGTAGGACAGACAACTTGTTTGCTCTGAGCAAAACACAAGTTCAGTTGAGGTTACTAGATATTGGTTAGGCAAGAATACTCTTAAGGCTAGACCTAGTTTTAGTTTTAGACAGCTTCTATCTAGCACCACAAGCAGTATTGGTAGAACTTTGTCCCTCCAAAGACTTTTGCACCTTGTTTTGTCTTCCTCTTGCTCAACACTTCCTTTCTCCCTGTACCTTGGTTTGCCTCTCTATCCAACATGCACACACCATCCACCCCTCTCCCCATATATCATTTAGCCTTTGGGGACACAGAAGTTCCCTGGTGTCTGTCCTAAAATAAGGTGAAGGACAATTCCAGTCATCATTGGCCTCCTCCTGCAGTTATAAACCTGAAAGATGGAACATGTTCAGAGCTGGTTCTGGTCTAGAAGGGAATAGGAAAAATCCAGGCCTGACGTTGAGACCTTAGAACCACCGATCTCTTATAGAACTCTCTCCAGGTGCACTAGGGATATTCCCTCTAATTACTCAGCATTTTATCCATCCCCAGAACTTCATTCATCCCACTCTCATGTAGAGAAGTTACCTTTTCACATGAGAATATTTCTGTTGTGAGGATAGTTTGAGTATTTGCAGAGGTTAAACTGGGGGATTTCATGCCCTGTATAAGGTGAGCTTGTCTGCTCTCAGTACTCTAGAACTAATCCAGTCTCCCTTAGGATCTGTCCTTCTATTTCAGAGTCTGTGATCTTGCACTTTGTAGTGTAAACATTTCATTCAGAATTTATTCTCGGTGGCAATCATAACTGTTATCCAGGAACCAGAAAGCATGGATTATACAGATCTTTGTTCCTTTCTTTCCTGGTATTGATGTCTATATTTCCCTGCAAAGGAGACGATGAGATGAATTTTGCTTCTTGGCAGTTGGAATAATAACTGAATAGGGAAGACAGAAAAGCCTGTTAGGTCATGTGAAGCTGTGGATTCTCTTGATTAAAACTTTCCCTTTGGGGATCAGAAGTACATAACCTTAAGAAACTAGAAGGAATACTGGAGATCTAGTCCAGCCTTCTTGTTTTGCATATGAAGAAAATGAATTGACACATAATTAAGATTTTTACTTTAAATAAAAGCATTTTTGCTAAATGGAAAAGCAGAAGAGGGAAATCCAGTTACAGCTTATAGAAGTTTTAAAAATAACCATTTACTATTTTAATATCAAAATAATTAAAGATATTTGGCATTAATTTATATTGAATAAAAACCTCAAACTGATTAAATATCTTTAGTTCTAAACTTTCTGGTCATTTTTTTTTAAGGCCTCTATTGTAGCTGAAGCCTATGACTTTGTTCCAGATTGGGCTGAAATTCTTTATCAACAAGTGATTCTAAAAGGTGACTTCAATTACCTGGAAGAATTTAAGCATCAAAGGTTATTAAAAACCAGTGTATTTGAAGAGATTTCCAAAAAGTAAGTGTTACAAAGCAGGCTGCTTTGTCAATCGCAAAATAAGTAAACAAACTGCTTAAAAATTACTCCTTTTGGTGACGTTCCCTTCAGGTGAAGGACAAAAAGAAATTTGCTAAAAGAGCTCTGACCTAAACCGCCTCAGATACATAACAGATACATATCTTGTGACTGTACAAATGACTAAATAGCATTTTGTACTTAAAAAAGGCAGCTTGTTGGAAAAGACGAACTATTGCTGAATTATATTAGTAATGTATATTTTACCAAATAAATTTTAAAAATTTTAATGAAAATAAACCCATTTTCTAATTGAGATACATTTTAAATATTGATGGCATTGTCACTAATTTTTAAATGAAGTCCAAGAGTGACTTCCCTGGTAGCTAATATAGCTAGCTGGCATTTTCATTCAGCTCTTATCTGTGAAAACGCATTCTCTCTCTCTCCACACACACACACACACACACACACACACACACACACACACACACACACACACACACACACACACGTGTCTGTGTATATATGTATGGATATGTGTATACACACACTCATGTTAATGTTTCTTTTAGATTTAAACAGCACCAGCCAACTGAAACAGTTACAAAGAACATGAAAAAGTTACTGTCATACTGTGAAGATGTCTACCTGCATTATAAGCTGGCATATGAGCACAAGTTCTATGATGTTGTAAATAAGCTTCTCAAGGAGCCTCAGACCGGATGTTGTCTGAATGACATGTTAGCAAATTAGAGCAAGGCCAAGAAGAAATGACTTGTCTACCAGCATGTCTTGCAGTGGGCCATGCCCTGTAGTGCACTTACCTGGAACTGCCCTGGTATGTTAACACAGAACAGTTTCTGTTATCCATTACATATCACCCACAAGACAGATACTTCTAATAATGAAGATTTTATTCAAAGGTATACTATTCAGGTTGGGTAGGTATGCATCTTTCTGTCACCCTCTAGAAGAAACTGCTTCCAAGAGCCAGAGAATGGTTTTATAAAGTGAAAGTAGATCTAATGCCCTTCTAAGACCCACAGACCATGTCAAAGAGTAGAATACTTACTAAAAATTATACTTGTGAATAAATTTTATATAGCTGAAAACCATTTGTACCTTGTGTTGGAAATTATGGTTTTGCCACAAGACTGGAACGCCTTCCCATTACATATTTTCACCCAGTGTCTTACAGAAGCATGGGCAGTGGTTTCCTTCACATTGCATGCAGTTAAGAGAAAGCGATTCCATTTTGCCATTTTGTCCCTGCCTCAGCTAGTTTTAAGGAATTCATAACCAAGATTATTTAACAACTATTTCAAGTTTCCTTTGCAGATATTTAAAAATGTTCTGAGAAAACCATAGGTTTCACCAGACTGCCAAAGGGTTCCACGACAAAAACAGTTATGAACCCTTGCCTATATAGGCTAGGCTGTTGTGGTCTTTTCCTAGCACATTTTGAAACAGGCCACGTAGGAAATGTCCCTGTGACATTAAAAAACCTAGAAAAGGCAGAACTTTTGTGTTCTACCTCTCTTTGTTACAAAGACCTAAGAATCTATGACAGCAAAACTCAATTCAATACCCACTTTGCTTCAGAGGCCATAGAAAAAAAATGTGAAAATTATACTTCTGTCATAAATGTTCATAGGCATTTATACACATATATCATCCCTGTAAAGCTGCCGAGAGCTTAAAATTTAAGGGCTCAGTGAAAAAAATGCTTCTTAAAAATAGTAGAGATTAGCATTTAAGCATTTAAATTCTCCAAAGTATCAGAGTAGGAATAAGTACTCCTTACTTTAGAGTTTCAATATCACATTAATGGCTTGAGTCCTTATAAAGCAGCAACAAACAAATCTTTGTTGGGCTTCTGTAACTAAAGAAGGGAAATCCGTTCCACCCTCTCCACTTGATATACTTTTCTTCAAAGGTAAACTTAGGTTGAAAAATCAAGTCAGCATCAGGACAGTTAAGTGTTTCCTGGGAGCTCATACACAAAATGAAGTCCTCACAATAGTGATTTTTATTAAATTAGTTGCTTTATAAAACATTGCAGATGTCATAATTGTTAACATAACAATTTACCAAACTGTAGTAACTGTTGCAGTTTGCTAAGCATGTTTGTAAAGGAAAGGAAATGCCAAAACCCTGTGAAAGTTGTTGTTTCAGCCTAGGAGAACAAAGAAAGTTTTGTTTCTCAGATATTTTCAATCAGGCAAATAAAACAGGTCAAGAATTTCCCTCCTCTTAAGAGCTGCATCAGTAGAAATATTCCGGTAAATATAAACTAGACTGTTTATACACTCGAAATACCACAAGTTGGATTTTGTCAAATGCGATAATGGAGACATTACCTCTGCGGCTTCAAGGTTGGTGGTTTTTGGTCATTTAATTTTTTAAAATGTCGAACAAGTAGCCATTTGAGGCACAGTATCCTTACTCTGAAATAAGCAGTCTTCTTTGCAATGTATTTTTAAAATCCTCACGCTCTACCTTAAGACAAAGCCATTTTAATACTAGGTGCACACCCACATGCCCTTGTTGCAAACTGCTTTTGTTGACAAGATATGAAGTAGTTCGAGGAGGTATGGTTAAGGCTGTATTATTGAATGGTGCTGGTAAATACTACTTTTTTTTGTCACATTGCAACTATTGTTTCCAATTTAGTGACTCTGCTGCCTGGAACCAGATAGCAACAATGACAACATTATTAGGATTTCTTTTACTGTGATTTAGTAGCAACTGAGTTTTCCCGATTTTAACCCCTTGGCAACAAGAACTAAGTTCCCCATTGCATTAGCACCTAAGTGTCAAGGGGTTAAGTAACCAGCACAAAGATACTGCACTTTTGATTGTAGCATTTGGCAGAACTGAAAGGAAAGGAAGTTGTGCTACATGTTCAAGGGACTGTGGGCAACAGAAGAAGACAATGGGGAGAAGATGAAATGTCACATGAAGTCTTCAAAGTCTTGCACATATCCTCCATCATAGCCACCATAGTCTGCAAGATCATCTTTCATTGTAGCCTTTAATCCCCCTCCAGGAACCACACCTTTCTTCTTCTTTTTGGCTTTGCTTTGCTGAAGATGAGAGAGAATTCAATTAACTCAGTATTTGTTTTATAAGAATCCACTCTGAGGCAGCTTCTATCCGCCTATGCCTCAGGTGTCAGAGGAATCTTACTTTGAGCCACTACCCACATAATTACCTCTCTAACAAAATGCACTTAGGTACCTCAAATCCTGTTAACTACTCCAGCTCACAGAAAAATGCCAGCTGCCAGACTTCAAATTAGGACAATCTCTATTAACTAAGACCCTGAAATGTGCACAATTTATACTGGAATGGAGGCATTTAGTGAGATGGCAGGTCTAAGTACTCCACATTACGTGTTGATGCTTGGAGGTAGAGTTCTGTTAAAGCAGGACACCATCAGGGTATTTGAACATACTGACAAGAAAGTTCTGGCCAGGTGCAGTGTTAAGCCACACCTGTAAACTATTTTCTGCCAACTTCTGTGTAGGTGAGATTTCATACCACTGTAATAAACTGAGAGAGTTAACTTCTTTTCAGTTTAGGATTTCCTTCTTGAAAGTGGATCAGATACCTATCTTTGACTCAGTTTTTTAAAAAAATCTTTAAGCATGTAAGAACTCAGAAATGCTACAGTTCATGCAAGAAAACACAGCTATCTTTTTACTTACCTTTTCTTGTTTCTGTTTTTCACTGCATAGCACTGTCAATGAATTGGTGATCTTTTTCAAGTCATCAATTTCCACTTTAAAAAAAAAAGAAACTTTAGTTTGCAAAGCATTTTGGGGGAAGTGATAAAAGGTTTGAACATGAAACATCAAGATAAACAGAATGAGACATGTTTTTGGATATGGCCAATTTGAGAATTTGCTTTCCTTTAATTTTGAACGTTAAAGGCATTTTCTTTTACCGTTGTTCAAGGGAGGAAAAAAAATGCTGAATTATCAAGATCAAACGGGACACAATGGCTAATATGACCCAGAAACCAGCGTCTCAGTCTGATGTATCCAAAAGTTTGTTTCCAAAACACTGACCCTTATTATCACCCTCCTTTCTTCTCAGAAGTCAACATAAGAGATACAATTATATTAAAAAACAACACGCATAATGTTTTATTAGCTACTACGACACCAAGATTTCTTTTCAGGAAGCCACTGTAAAACATAATTAACAAGCTGACTTCAGCAACATGCCACAAGCACAGCCACCTGTTGCTCCTGGCTGTGTTTGTACAGGACTCCTAAAATAAACCCTAACCGAGTCAGATTTACGTCATCAAAATCACTTCTATATTCTCATGCTATTGTTTGATTAAAATCATTCTAAAGAGCCAAAGATGTTACTTACGTGAAATACACACATCTCGAACTAATGCTTCCAAGAAACTGGCATAATATAGAGATTTTTCATACTGTGTAATTTTATCTTTTAGTAACTTGCCAAACTCTGTGAAGTCATCTCTTGAAGAGGGGTTCATGGCATCTATACCACAGATTGTGTTATTAACACCTGTAAGAGAAAATAACAGTAAAAATGCTAGTTAAGGAACAAACTTACCAGTTGCACAAACACCAAATTAGAGGGATACGTTTATTCACATTGACTGTGAGTACATATAGCCCAAGGTAAACAGAGGAGTTAAAAAAAAAAACCAGTAAAGCAGAGAATAGTTTTCCAAAAAAAAAAAAAGTAAAGGTCTTTGTTCTCTGAAAACAGAAATCTAACTCTACAGGTTAAAAATGGATGAGTGGGGGTGTGGGGGGATGGATGAGTGGGTGTATGTGGGAAAAAGAAAATGCCATGGTTTTTAATTTAAAATTAAGAATGTATGAAATAACACAGATTATAATTTGTAATTATGATAGTAAGCTACAATTTACAAAGCTTTCACAAAAACAGTGAAATTTTAAGTGAAATAACATAAGGGTAAATGGTAAAACCACTTCTGACTGATGTACTAAGTGTTTCTTTCCACTATACCTACTTTGCCTCCCTAAAACATTGTACTTAGTGTGGGATTTTTTCTGCCTTTTACCTGTACATTTCCCCCAAAAAAATCCTATCAGCAATTACTTTAAACCATGAAAATGAAGTATTCCTTAAGATTCTGTGTAAAATAATGTTGTTTGCCTGTAATTAGATGGTGATTTAAAGCTACCAACCTACACTATGGTTACAGCAGAGGTGTCAAATAGGGTCTTACACTCCCCTAAAGTGTCCTGAACCAGATAAAAATGTATTGGGAAATCTCTTAACAAAATAAAAATAAAATTAAACAGATAATGTGTAGTTTTATGAGTCAACATTCAGCCCACAAGGATCTTTATGTATGGTTTAGTGGCCATTTCTATTTGAGTTTGACACCACTAGTTTACAAGAATGTCCACGATAATTTAGTGGAATTATCAGAGTTCACAATTACCTAAAGCATTTTCCATGGAAAAGAGAGTAGTGACTGACTCATCAGCCCCCTCTGCATCATTCATGGTGTTATGGGATTCAAGAGTTGGAAGGGAACACTTACAGATCATTTATTCCATCCTCCTCGTTTTACAAATGAAAAAAATTGAGGCCATGAGAGAGAGGTAAAGTCACTTCAATACTAGAGTCAGAGAACTTATCAAAACTTGGATTTGACCTCAACTTTTCTGACTCAAAATCTAGTGCTATCCTTGAGCTAACCAATCTGAAGAACAGATAGAACAGCAGGGGAAAAATAATAAGAGTAACAAGAATGCTAACAATGTACCTAAAAGACACCTCATCCCATACTCAAGGTGTGGAATTTCAAATTAACTCAGCTAGTCAATTCAGCAACCATTTATTAATAAGTATCATCTAGAGAGACAAAGATGAACAAGAATTCTGTTTTCAAGACTCTTATAATTTAGTTAAGATATAAATACAAATTACCATAAAACAAATGTGATAAGATTTCATAATGATGAAAATAAATTAAATTCATCATAAAAAGATGAATTCATAAAGAATTCATAAAAATGAATGTGATAAAGAGAGGTTCTGAGAGGAACACTCAATGTCTCCTAGTGTTATCAAGAAAGGTTTCATGAAGTGGCCCTTCAAGTAAAGTATTAAAGTTTCAATAAGGAGACATTAGGAAGGGATGTGTTCTAGGCATGAAAGATCAGGATATTAGGTTAGAAATATAGTATGGATGAAAATGTTTGAAGAATGATATAAAATAAGAATGTAAGTAAATTCAGAATCAAATAATATGAAATAAGAAGGGAAAAGAAAATTCAGAATCAGATTATAAAAAAACAGTGACATTATAAAAGAAAACAGGTTAGATTTTACATCGTCTGAGATGAAAGTTTGAACTGAGACTCGTGGCAAAATAAATGGAAAGTAATACACCAATGAGAGACATTGTAGTAGAATTTGGAAATTAGATATGGAAGGTGAAAGAGGAAGGACTAAAGAAAGGTTTTTTTATTTGGGGCCATGGTGACTAGTAGGATCATCAGCAGAAACTACAAAGTTTGGAGGAAGGGCAGCTTTCAAGAGGTAAATGACTTCAGTTCTAGAATGTTAAGTCTGAAGAGATGATATATTCTCACAGAACCAATTGAGACTGCTTAAATCAAGCACGGAAGTGGCAAAAATGTGCTAACTTTTGTGAGAAATGAGGGCAATAGCTCATTCTGTAGCTGCTAGTCTTGTTCTACCTGTACCTCAATTTCCCTTACAGTTTCTGGTATAGCAAAGGAACATGGGGAGCGATCCTTCTACAGGCTCCTGGATTATGGCTACAGTCACATCTACGCCATGTAGATTTGAACATTTCTTCCCCTACCAAATGCATGGTGGCAAAAGGAGGAAGCAGACTTAGTAGCAGGGAGAGACAAGAGAGGGAAATCCCCTGAACTAATCGACTTTCATGCATCTTTTGTAGCAAAGACAACAGAATAGATAGACAGGCTTGTTGCCAGCTAAGCTTTTTTAAAGCAACACACCTTCCATTCATGCACCTGCAACTTTTAAACAATTACACACAAATGTGACCACAGCACACAGGTTCCTGCATTTCAATCCAATGATCCTTTTTACTTAATGTTCTTTCATTTGGTGCCCAAAGCATAGTTAATTTGAAACTAGATTATTCATCTAAAGTACTAAATCTAAGAGATCTCAAAGTAGGCCAAAACTTTGGCTAATATTTAAATAAACTAGACTCAGATCTCCAGCGAAAGGAATGCTCCCCTAATATCACTGTGTAAATGATCAGACAGATTTGGTCTGATAACAGACAGGTGTGTGCTATCAGCTTACCAAAGGTTTCTTTTGCTAATTCCAGGTCTGCCTCTTCCTGTAATTTCTTCAGCCGTAGTTTATCTGCTAATTGTTCTTCTGGTGTAAGCTCTTTAGATTCTTCAGGCTCTTCCAACTATAATGCAGATAGGTATGAATATTTTGTTTAAGAGAAAAGAGTTCATGTCTTTCATGATATCTATACATCTGTGGTTTACAACACTTCAATTCAGAAAAATGCCCTAGAAGTACAACTGCAACATTTTGTTACTATTGGAGAAAACAAGCCACGGGCAACTAAAATAAATTAGAAAACCTGAATATTTAATAATTCAATGATATCTATAGCTTTGGCACCAAGTGGGCCTTTATACTGTCTAGCTGAATGGAATGTAAAAGATATCCATGTAGACATAGGTCTATGATAGATATGCTATATATATGTAGCATCCAGAAAGAAAGAGGGACAATCATGACTCCACAACACTCTTGGATTCTGAACTACTTTTTATAATTACCCATCACCAGAAGTGAGAGTATTTGAATTTAAGAGACTTAGTACAATAAGATTAAAGTTCCTTCAGCATGTACTGTGATTGAGACAACAAATACAATGTCAAAATATCACAAATTTATTCTGATCTCAATGATGAGAGAAGAAAGGGTCAAGGCACCAGGAATGCTTTACATTATACCTTTAATTACATGATTCTACTCCCTGGGATGTTATAATTTTATTCATAATTACATTTACAGATATAAATTGTCCAAAAGCATTTCTGAAATATTTCTAACACTATCTCCAATGACCAAAGAATAAAGATACATCAATGAGTGTATTTATGTACATATATGTATGTATGTATGTGTATATATCAATCACAGAATAGGTGCCTTTCACATTCCACTCAGCAAGCACAATGCAGATAATGAACCATAAATGCCAGAACTGCAGACAATGGCAGACTACTGAATAGCTAGTCATGACTGTTCCAGAAGGTCTGTGAAAATGTTGAATTCTGTGTTTTTCCAGAACTGAAAACTAAGTTCAAGCAAATCTACTTCCGAAAGGATCAACTTGAAATGAAGGGCTGTTTTTTCCACAACCCACTAGACAATATCTGAACTGGTGATATGAAAGTTTTTGCTCTCGAATACCAAGTACTTACCCTTTTCTTAATTTCTTCTTGTCTTTTCTTCTGTTGCCGTTCTTTCTCTTTGATTTTCTCTGCTATTTTCTTCTTTTCTGAAACTTTTGTTTCTAAAAACAATAGAGAACCTTTACAATCAGACAACTCTTTTGTTTTATAAATGCATACCACAGCATCATAATCCTACAGTTTTTCATCTTATGAAATAAGGGTAGAACCCACACTGGACACCATACAAGATCAAGAGCCTAAAATCCTCTCCAGGTCTGTAAGGATGACTTTGTACTAAATGGGAACATGGAAAAACTTATTTTCCTGAAAAGGTCAAACATCAAGCATTTGGAGAAAATGAGATTATAAGCAAGAAAGTATGTTGGGGGAGGGAGGGGCGCCCAAGATGATTTCTAAATTTTAAGATTTACAATTGGGTACTTTTACTACAAGCCAGTAAATAACTCTGGAAGGTCACCAAGACACCTCACCAAGAATGGAAGGGAGCCCCAATGGCTCACCTGGTTTTACCTCTGTCTCCTCTTTTTTTTCTTCATCATCATCATCCCAGTTTTCCTAAAGAGAAAAACCTGCATTAGCTGAATTATTAAGCTAAGACAATCAAGCCAAAGTTAACAGCCTGTCTCTTGAACTGATTCATAATATGTCTTGAATCTTAAGAATCTGGACAACCTAGCTATGGCCTAAATATTTTGAACCTTCTCATTTAAAGAAAACATTTGACATTTATATAGCAGAACAGGTCAAATTCCATCATACAAACCCACCCCCCACACACACCCCTAAAGAAAAGTTATTTCCAAATCCTAGACAATTGTCATTTACTCAAAATATTTTATAGGCCCGAAATGTTTGTAGTCCAGCTTAGCTAAGCTCAGAGAAACTCATCACCAAGTTGGTCAGTTGGTGGTAACATTTTTAGCTACAGCAATTCTCAGGGTGAGACATTTTATATAACACAATTTGATGCAAAGTGCTTTGCAAGCCACTGTAATTATTTAACCTATTTAAAAATGAATACTTAAGTTGAGCATGTGGTAATACTTAAGGTCACAATTATAATGCCAAAAGCTATTCATTATCAAAAATCACTCCTAAACCTGGATAGGATATTGGAAGGTCTCCTTGAATTTGTCACTTCCAGTCCTGGCATAGTCACTAAGCAATCCTAGAACTAAAAATAGCATTGTTATCTGGCACAATTAAAAGGAGAGCAAAGCTGTAACTACTGGTGAGAGACTAGTATATATCATCTGCTTGTTTCCCATCACTGAGCTGGACTTCTCTGACTCCTCCAACTTGCCCCCAGCAATCTCATCATTGAGAAAAAACATCATCCAAGAATCTAATCAGCCTTAGTACTCACACTTCATCAGTAGCCACTGATTGAAGAGCAGCAGCCATGTACTCCTCAATCTCCACTTAGAGGTGGCCCAACATAGACAGGGCAGCTAGGCACCAGAGGATAGGAAACCTAGAGCACCAGGCCTGGAAGTTGTTGTTCAGTTATTTTTCAGTTGTATCTGGCCCTCTGTTGATCTCATTTGGTGTTTTCTTTGCAGAGATTCTGGAGTGGTTTGCCATTTCCTTCTACAGTTTATTTTACAGAAGAGGAACTGAAGCAAACCATGTTAAGTGACTTGCCCAGGGTCACACAGCTAGTAGATCTGAACTCAGGAAGACGTCTTCCTGACTCCAGAACATAACAAAAATAACTGAACAACAATATAGACATCTCTTTATCTCCCACCTAGCTACTCTCCTTTTGAACTTCTTTGACCATGTGCCCAGAAATCTTATCACTGGGAAACAGCATTATCCTGATAGAATGAAATCAGCCTTGGTATTAACATAACATCATCAGTACTCTGCCCCTAGCTACTCCCTCTGGACTTCTTTGATTTTTCTATCCTACCCTCCCTCACTTTTTTACTTTCTTTTATCTTCCCCCATTAGACTGTATGTTCCTCGAGGACAGAGATTTTCTTTTTTCCATTTGTATCTCCAGCTGCCTTAACAAATATTTATTCACTAACTATGAAGCAGGGAGGCAAGTCTGTAAATGGCCAACCTTCAAGTTGGGCAAACAGTGATAAATCTAATAAAGTTAAGGTGAAAGACAAGGAATGAAAGGTGTAATTAGTTAATTGCTGGTAAAGGCCTGAACAAGTAATATGCTGTAACATTGACATTAAGCTCGTTTTATAAGACAACTAAAAATCTAAATGCATTCTAGGAAAACAAGCCAAACAAGAGGGACTGCTTTTTCAATTCTCACTAAAACCTATAGTTAGATGATCAAATAGTCTGATTATGAGGTGATGCCACTTAGTTGTGGTATGCTCAGTTTAGAACTCTACTTTTACACCTTGTGACCAAAAAAAAAAAGTCATAGTTTTAAACAGATTCCAGGCAAACTAGCTGATCATTATTTTAACTATTCACAACACTCAACCTTTACATCACCCACCTCTCTCAAATACTCAGGTTTTCAAAGGCCTAAATCAAAACAACCCAGCTAGGCAAATTAAGTTATGGATTTCGGCAATATGAGTATGAAAAAGCTGCAAGTATATTACAGGCCTATGATGTCCATTTTGAGGCTTAACTGGGGTTCCCTGGCTTCACTATGAGCTCTCTAGAATCTAGACAAAGGTTGAAGAAAAGTAAAAGGTTTTGTTCCAACTCCTCTGGCCCTTGCAGTGTTTTTAGTCTTACAAACTTTCAGGGCTCGCCTGAAAGTTCATAACATAGAGCTCACGAATAAGAAATCCTCTTTCATAGCTGTGCCAAGCTCAGTCACATCTCTGCTCCCTTTATTTAATGTTAATTCAGCAGTCTCTATTTTCCACTAATTTTTAAGATTTAGTTCAATTTCCCTTGGTATCTTGCAACAATTTGCAAGTACTCACTGAATAGCACAGACAGTGCAGATAGTATTCTCCTCTCCTTCAGGTACCTTGTAAATCAGTCCTTCAATGTCCTCACAATTGTTACTGCCTCTAGCTTGGATCTCCATATTCTTTGGTCGAATCAGGTTACTTTCCCCATCTTTGTTCTCCATTTCTATCTCCTCTATAAGCACTTGAAGTACTATATAATATAAGGGGCCTAGAGAGGTGTTTACACTATCCTTGATGGAGAAAAATTTAGAGAAATGGTTTTTACAAATCTTTTCCATTTTCTTCTGTTTGTAGTCCTTGTTTATCCTTGAAAGTTCGTGGGATTTCTTTGCTTAGTTGGATATCCTGCCACATGTTATTAAGCTGGTTTTATTCTCCATGCTTGTTTTGAAAAATGATAATGCTATAACTGATCATCGTTCACAAGATTTTGCAGATGAGTTTATATTCTAATCTAATTTGCTTTTGATAACCATCACTTTTTGATCGGCAAATGTAAGATGTTTGCTGACTAAAGCACTTTCTTGACTTCTAATCTCCTTGTTGTAGTAATTAACTTAATAATGGTTTAACTTCTTGATGAAATTATTATAGGTCAGTATTGTTGATATTTCTGTTGTCCGTTTTTCATTTTCAACAATTAGTTGGTCTTTTCTTTCGTTGCTGTTTCTATAAATGCTGATCTTCGGTCTAACAACTCAATGGTTTTGCTGTACACACAACATCAAAAATAAGTCTTTTCCTGTCTGTTAAAAAGCATGCTGTCTTCCATCCATTATCATTATCATTCAAGACTCCTTCAGAAGACCTTTTACTAACAGAAATAACCCTGTTTAATGACCCTCTGATACTAAACATTACACAAGGCATAAAAGAGGTAATTGCCTGCTCCCTAAACCTGTTTGTCACTGGGATGGAGGAAATCCATTGGAGGAAGAATTCTCTATTGATAAGGTCCTCCAGATATTTCTATTTGAGGATGAGATTATAAAGATCATGTCAAGCCCTAGAATACTGCAGTCTTCTGAAAGAGAACAGTAAAAGCATTTGGTCTGTCCAACCACACAAGACTAATTGTACAACATTTGCCTACTGTCCAGATTCCAATATGTGTCTGAAGAGACGCTTTAAAGAACTTGGGCTTGAGTGCTTTCAGGAAACTGCAAAGTTCTTCTTACTGACCTCAAGCTTCCCATGAAAGCAAAGGCCCATACTAACGTTTTTACCGGTGGCACTGCTATATAAGGGATACATGGAATACCACTGCCGATCTTAAGAACGTCATACAGAAGATATTGAAGAGGCCCAAGGGGGGTGTAAGCAGGCCAGAAATATAACTATTGAAAAGTTCCAAAGAAAAGTAGTAAAGGACCTCATCAAGCAAATGTATGAAAAGAAGAGATAATGAGGGTAGTCATGTGACAAGAGCAAAGGATGATAGGTGGACAGTCAGTGGTCCAACCTGTGTGATACTGGAAGTGAGGAAGTCTCCCTCACACTGAGTGGATCCTTTATGGCAAACTTTTGGTAGAAAAAAGACAACAGTCACAAGGGATGGGCATGCATGAATGGGGTGCAATCTGTACTGCTGGAGCAAACACCCCAATGGATGAGATCACAGATCTATTTGTTGTATGAGTTTTATATGAGTGTAAGTAACTACAAGGCCAGTTTGGCTGCACTGTGCACAGAGTATATATACTCTGTGAGTGCGAGAAAGAGAGTAATATGTATACAGATTCTAGAAAGGTAGATTGACATCAGGTTGTCTACTGCTTTAAATGCCAGAAATTTATATTTTATTGCAGAGGTAAAGAGGGAGCTGATGGAGTGTCCATGGTAGGAAGAAGAATAAATGTGTGACAAGTCAGACCTGCACTTTGGCAGGTATGTAGAGAACTGGTGTGGATAGAGACTCTTGAGTTAGGGAGACCAATTAGGAAGCCACTGAAACAGTACAGCTATAATGGGATAGTGCTGTTTAATTGGAAAAAAGAGGACAGATGTCAGATGTTGTGCAACAAGAAACAACAAGAAACGGAAGATAATACTGAGGGCTGCAAACTTGGGTAACTAGAAGAATAGCAGTGTCTTAGAAATAAGAGTGGGGAGGGTTTTGGAGAAAGATAACAATGAGATCTTTGATAACGGATTGAAACCCATCCATGAGTGCTCATCCTGTGCGATTCACTGTTCCACCAGACCTGCTTCTATATTTTCTGTTCCAACCACGATTCCTTTTAAATGCTTAGTTTGGTGGTATGTCCAAAATTTGCTACTGAGGTCACAATATCATCCACCATGGATAAGCATGGCTGCCACTCCCAGCCTATGAGGGTTTGGCCTGAAGTCTTCAAGAACTAAGGGAACAGAGTGATGATGGTCAAAGGGCAAGTTGACCCTCCAATTCTGAACAAACAAAAGGGTCAATCACTCTTCCTATCTTAGTTAAGTCAGAAGTACCTGAAAGGATTTTTAGAAATTGAGACACATGAAAGCAGATAAACAAATGTTCTTTCTTGCTCCTACTTGGATAATAGTCATTTCTTTACTTGCTGTCCTCTTTTCTCTTGGGCTCTAAGGTGAACCCAAACCTCTGAAAAGCACCAAAAAACTTTTCCAGGATACCGCAGGTATTCCAAAAGGGACAGTTCAGGATAAGCCTGGAGCTCACTAGCAGCTCCATTTCCCCCCACCCCCTTAAAAAAAATTTTGTATTTCAATGAACAAGTATTTATTTTCTTTCCCTCCCATTTCAGCCCTCCAATTGAAAAAATACAAAACAAATATGCATAGTAAAGCAATACAAATTTCCATTTTGTCCATGTCCAAAAATCTATCTCTTTCGGCCTCTTGAATCCATCATCTCTCAGAAAGGTGCAACATGCTTTCCCATTAGTCCTCTGAAATCATGGTTGGTAACTGAATTCAGCAGAGACCTTAAGTCCATCAAAGTTGTTTGTTTTTGCAATATCATATTGTATAAATTGTTCTCCTGGTTCTGCTCGCTTCATTCTGCATCAGAATTCATGCAACTCCCCCCAGGTTTCTCTGAAATCGTCCCCTTTTTAATTCCTAGTATTCCATTATGTTTATATGCCATTATCTGTTCAGCCATTCCAACTGATGGGCACCCCTTTAGTTTCCAGTTCTTTCTCAAATATTTTTTGTACATACGGGCCCTTTTCCTCTTTCTATGATCTCTTTGAGGGTGATATACTCTGAGTAGACATATCACTGGGTCAAAGGATATGCAGTTTAGTTACTTTTTGAGCCCAGTTCCAAATCAGCATCTTTGTTTCAAAACAAATTCCAGATGCTTTCCCTATTGTAAACTTATATTTTCAGGATTAATTATAACTATGTTGAACACAAGGGGCAAAGGGGCATTTTCCTTAATAAATTCTACTCTTGTATATTTCAACAAACACATATGGAACTTCTCTTACAAGTAAAATGCTTTTTGACTCTAGGACTCCATAGTGTTCCACGATGGCCAACGCCTTTATTTCTCACATTGGCTAAATAGTATCAAAAATCAAGTCTATGAACATTAAAATAAGTGAATTATTTATATATGCCAGAACTAAAAATATGATAAGCAAATAGTAGTCTACAAAAATTTAATTTGGAATTGGCTAGAAGTATACACTGAAATTCCTCTTGGCAGAATGCCCACCTCCCTAGCATTTCCAGGTAATCTCACATTTCTCTGAAACACCCCCCCCCTTTCTTTAGAAGACTGCTTTAGAACCTTGAAGAAGTTTCTAATTCTGGTAACTTTAAAATTACAGACTAATTAGAGCAAGGTTCTTGCTTTGCAAAAGCAAGGAAAAGAGTTCAAGATGGAGAAGCAGAAAGAATCTCTTATCAGTTCTTCAGGATGACTTTAAATCTCAAGGAAAAAAAAGCGCCGTGCTTGAGATGGTTCTATGCACTTTAGATAAGTTTCCCCAAATTAATGGTGGGAAACCAAATTTCTTGGGAAAAATCTACTTCTCAATAGGCAACGGATTTGTCGATTAAGAAGATGGAACAAACTAGCCCCAGAAATGTTGATATCTCAATGGCATATGCTAACCTAAGAATTCCACCTGCATTTTTCTCCCTTGCTATCAGAAGATGGAATATGTACCTTTCTTCCTAGCCAGCAAAGCCCAGAGCAAGCATCAATGCACCAAAAATTTAGCATAAATGCTTTTACTTATGAAGGACCACAAGCTTTCCCTCTGACAGAGAATTCCACATAAGTCTACAAGCAGTCAGCTGCAGAACAGGTTTTAGAAGACAAGAATATCTGATATAATTTAATGTCTGCTGTGAAAGCTGAGAGTATAGTACCACCTACAAATCCCCCAGCTACCTTTCTCAGGATGTTACAAAGTGACATTTAAAATCCAACATAAATCTATACGTTTAAACCCTAGTTCATGAAGAAATGGTTCCAGTTTTACTACAGATTTTGGTTTAGAGGCCCATTTTACTAGAAATTCAGGCTTTGCATCTTCTAAGGATAATTTTCTATTACACCAAGTTAGCATCCATACATTGGTCAAAGGCTAACATTATACTTCAGAAACTTGGTGCCAGCAGGACCAATTAGCTGACAATCTACGACTCTAGTTTGGTATTATCAATAACCCTTATGTTTTTTAGCATGTAAATAATTTTCTAAGAGTTCAATACAAATGACAACCTATAATACATTTCAGTTAGAACATAAAATCTGCACTTAATAGGAACTATGATCAGATCAATATTGTATCCTACAAAAGTCCTAGAAGTTCTCAATGAGAGCTTGACAATTTCTGTGATGAGGCTGTCAAAAACATCTAACACTTTGGGTCAACCACAAACAATCAAACTACAAAATCTCCAAACTCCCCTCATGTACCTTTTTATATTTTACCATTGTAATAACTTGAAAAGTAGTCCACATCACTGGATAATTCAGCTCAGAGAGCAGTAGAGAGCAACACGGAGGTTCTTTGGGATTCTCAATCACTACTATACCATAAAACTTCTTAGTTTGGGGTCCAATTCCCAGTACACATTTGAAGGAGAGGTAGGTGGGGAAGACTGCATATCTGACAGTCTTTAGGATCCCAAGAATCTTTAGATGTGACAAATTCCTTCTTTAACTGTTTTCAGAGGATCCATTAAGACCCTTTTATATAATCCCAGTAATCCTAATTTGAGACTATGCTCTAAAGCCTAATGGCAACATGTTGCCTCTATACCCCTCCCCTTTTTTGTTCTTTGAAAGATGACAAATTCATCTGGCTCCGACATTTTTGGAATGGCTCCAAAATCAAAGCAAATGTGCTAAGTAAGTCCTGCTTTAGAGAACTAAAGTACATTACATTAACTAGAAACAAATAATTGCTGGCTAAATGAAACACTTGTTCTATATGGGTGCACAACTTCACCCAATCTAGGCTTTTTGTTTTGAGGCTGAAACTGAATTAAGATAAATGAGGAGACAACTAATCCAAAGTACTCCACGGAAGACATTAAAGGAATCTTGCTAATGCAGTAGAATCAATAGTATTCTTGTTTTAAGAATACACACCAGAATATAAAAACATTTCTATAAAGGTTAACAAAACCCAAATGTCATTTCAACATTGCATCAAGGGCCTATGATTTCTTCAGTATGTGTGGGGAACTCCCTCTACCAACGCAACAATTCTGTAATTTATAGTCTTAAGAAGATGACTTGCCCTGATCAGGAGGGCTTTGAACCCTGGTCTAACTAAAAAGTCCAATACTATCACTGCTTTTCAATGACAGTCATATGGGCTATAAAACAAATCCTACATCAACTCTCTGGTCACTTTAAAAAACCTTTATTTTTACTTAAGTAGGTTTAATAACTGTGGGGGGGGATGGGAGGAAATAGAAGCTAGTTCAAGTATACAGCCTCATTTTGTTTACTTCCAGTTCTTTCAGTTTATTTTAACCTTTACTTTTCTTCCCATCCCATCATTCTTAAAATTCTCTTAACTTTTCCTCTAACTTTTCCTTTTGCTAACCTTACCTCACTTCCACTGCTAAAAATTTTTCTAAATTGCAACAGACATTGTGCAGAGCTAAAGAACAGTAAAAAAAAAATACTCATTTTATACAGTATCTTAAAGGGTGCTTGGCCATTTGGGGGGGACGGGCCTTGAAGCAGACCCAAACATTCAGGAGGAAAGAAAAGCCTGAGGGTTCTCTTAAGTGCACACTATTATTATTATGTTTCATTTTTTAAGATCTATTGAACAGGTAGTGAGCCAAGGATAAGAGGGAAATGCTCAACTTTCAACTTCATACATATAAACATCTGCTGAAACATTTCAAGAACTCCACTACTTTATTAAACTTTAAACCCTTGCCACTCTGGACATAAGACTTAAGGGCTACTTAATAAAATATTTGGGACAGTTTCCTAAAACCTCATGACTGACCCCATGATTAAAATGGCACACTTTTCAGAAATATACAACAAAGCTGAATCAATTCAGGTGGGAAGAGATGAAATAAACTCATTTAGCTTCATCACTTAGAAAGGAGTCCTCACTGCCCTTTCACCACTCCAATATCCAAATATTAAATGTTTTCATTCTATCTGGTTTTTTGTGTTTTTCATGTGTACTGATAAATAAGCCCTCCTGCCAACTCTACATTTCTCATGTTGCTTGTGTGAATTACTCAGGGCATTTATTATTTCTTCCAGCTGCTTGTATATGTCATTGCTTAATTCCTTCACCAGAAGAGAGAAGCTGTATCACTTTTTAATGTTTCTAAACGCTCTGGTAAATGGTTTGACAAGAAAGAGACTGAAGCTAATCTCTCAAAATGTCTCCACATATGTAAATTCATCGATCCTATCAGCTGTTCATTAGAATCATATACACCAACAGGAGTGGAAACTTTGGGGCCCCTAAAGTGAGTGACTACTGACCGCAACAGTGGAGAAGGCCAGGTGAAGACTCTTCCCCAGGATTCCCAGATGGAACATGCCCTGGGCCTCAACCCTCCAACCAACTCCCTTTCCAGAAAGTCATCCGGGAGCAGACCTGCGAGCCGGACTGACCGGGTGGTCCGTCACCTCCGCTAGCTACTCGGCGGGCGATGGACCCCCAGGACTGGTATGAAGGGCACTCAGCAAAATGGGGTCGGGCCGCCGCAGTCCCAGACCAGGGAGCTGATCAGAGCAGGCCTCGGCCGCGTGTCTCTGGCCCGGGTGGCCCGGGGTGTGAGGGGGAAGGACGGACGGGACGGCGCGACCCGAGCCGGAGTGGGGGCCTGGGGAGGCAAGGGCGCCACTATCCGAAAACGACGGCCCGCCCTGCCTGCAGGCCGGGATCGGGACCCCACGGCCCAGAGGGATTGGGCTCCCCCGCGCCCCCGGCCCCGGGCGCCATGGCACACTTCCCCCTCCCCCGCTCACCGGGCCAGACCCGGCCCGGTCTCGCGCCCACCTTGACGTCGTCATCCTCATCCTCGCCCTCCCAGCGGTCCCCGCCGGCCGCGCCCCCCGCCTTCCGCACCGGCTCCTCCACCGAGAACGTGTCCGCGTCTACGGAAGAGAGGGAGGGAGAGCCACGTTAGGCACTGGTCGCGTACGGTCAAGACACAGAGCCACCCCTCCCCCCACTCCACTCCATCCCCGGCACGTCTCCTTACCCCAGGAGTCCGAGTCCCCCGCCGCCGCCGCCATCTCGGGCCGGGTGTGTGTGAGTGCGAGAGGGAGAGGAGGGGGAAGGAGAGTGCGAGAGGGCGGCTGGTGAGTCACCGAATAGCTTCTCGCTGGCCAACGCGGGGCACGCCGGGACGGCGGCGGAGCGTCAGGCCCAGGCCCGAGGCCCCGCCCCTTACAAGCCGCGGGAATGAGGCGCGCCGAGGGGACTGAGCTCCGTCTCCCTCCTGACGCGACGGGGAGAGGGCGGGACCAGGCCGTACGGAAGAGGAGGGCGGAGGAGGCGGGGCTTCAGGTGGGCCAGGTGGACTAACCGACTGATTGATGGGCTGCTGGGAGAGGGGCCAGGGAGGAGGAGGGGCAAAGACACTACACCTACACACACACCTACACACACACACACACACACACACACACACACACACACACACACACACACGCACACGCACACACGTGCACTACGTCAGTGGGAACGCCCCTTTCTAGACTGCACACGCACAAATCCTAGCTTGACGAACGCCTCTTGCACACGTATAGTCACAAGGAATGGCCCTTAGACCACATGCATCCTCTACACGAGAAGCACCGTTTTCTTACACACCCCCTGGTCTCTCACATACATTCAAACACACAAACACACATCCTTGTCAAGGAGGAAATACACACTCCCCCCATACACATGTCCCTTGCACATGCGCCCTCTTCAGAAGAAACACCTCTTTCCTACACACGTGCTCCCTCATCTGGAGGAAAACCACCTCAGGCCCCACCCCCACCCCTTCTATATATATATATATATATATATATATATATATATATATATATATATATATATATATACATATACATATATACATATATATATATACATATATATATACATACACACACACACACACACACACACAGAGCTATGTCAAAGAGGACCGACAGACATCCCTTTCACACATCCCCTCATCACGGGGCAGCCCGTCACCCCATATATATAAACTTCCAAGGAATGTCCATACCCCACAGCCCCCTACCTAACTAGGGCGCGCTCTCAGTCTCTGTTTCTGTCTCTTCTCTCTCTGTCTCTCCCTCTTTCCCTCTCTCTCGTTCCCTCCCTTTCGTGATTCGTGTGTGACAAGCGTACGTGTGTGTGTATGAAAAGAGAGTGTGCTGTGTTTGTGGGGGAGGGGGCAAGGAGTTTGCTAGTGACACTTCTACAAGTTTGAAAAAAGGGTGTATGGGTGTGTGCGTGTGTGGACAAGGGGTTCCTTGGTGACGCGTATGCTACAACTCTCTCCCACTCCCTTCTTCTTCTACAAGTACGCCTCAAAGGGTGCGCTTCTTGCACACACTATCTTTGGAAACGCGCACTTTTCTCTCTCGCACATTCCCTCTTCTGGGGAAACTCCTTTCTAACACATGTCAGGGAGAGGTCCCTAGCACACACAGTCACGATGACCGCGCTCTCCCCCCACACACCTTTCCCACATTCTTCCTCTTCACGAGAAATGCACTTTCTCGGTCCCTCATGCACACGCTCTCTTTTGACACACTTTTTCTCGAACCCAGCTCACAAGGGAACTCCTCGTCCCTCCAAACACCGTTTTACACACACACTTGTCTCACAGACGTCACCAAGGAACTCCTTGTCCTTACACACACACACACACCCATACACCCTTTTTTCAAATTTGTAGAACGAGTGTCGCTAGCGAACTCCTTGCCCGCACACACAAATACAACCCACCCTCTTTTCATACACACACACACACACACACACACACGCTTCTCGCACAGGAATCACTAGGGACTTCCTTGCTCTTAGACACACACTTCTTGCACACGCGTCACAAGGGCACGCTTCGAGAGTCCGAGGCAGTCCGAGGGGCTGGAGGTGGGAATGTCCAGAGCCCCAGGACTGCCCTCCCACCCCCTAGTCATTCCCTAACGAGAGAGAGACAGACAGACAGACAGACAGACAGACAGAGACACAGAGAGAGAGAGAGCGCCTGTTTTTGCTCAGAGGTAAATCAAGGCAAAGAAAGGGTGGCAGGAACACCGGGTGCGCTTGGGCCAGGCCCCCGTGCTGCTCTCCGGCGAAGGCGCTGGTCCTGGCTCTGGCCGACAAGTCCCCAGGGGGGGCCCGCGCGAGGTCACAATGGGGACCCGCACAGGGCCATGAATCCTCAGAGCGCGCTGCCCAGCCCCTTCACGTTTTACAGAAGAGGAAACTGAGGCCCGGAGAGATTATTCCTAAGTCTTACAGCTAGGGTTGGGGAAAGAGGGACCGGATGGGGGGCGGGGGAAGGTGTAGAAAACCCAGGTCTTCTGACTCGAAGTCGTAAGATGATCGCAGGGATAGAGAGCCTGTTTCCACCTTCAAGATGTTTAAGTTTCCAGACATGAAATCGGGAACCAACAGTTGTTCATTTTCTTTTATTTATACAATGATTTTAAAAGTGCCTGCCCTTCCTGAAGTCAGCTTGTGAATACTATGTATCCTTGGCTGGATCACAAGTTTCGTGAAGGTGCCAATGCTTGTCTTCCACTCTTATCCTTTGTTGGGTATTTGCAATGGTTGGATACATAATCATCCCTATCCAACACACCTTTGACACATACTCTTTCTTTAATTAATATGTATCCCATTAAGTAGATCAAACATTAAGTGAACAAATATCCCAAAATTAATGTCATCATTTTTTCCCTTATAGACAAAGCAATGTTTGTGGCAGTTTGCTACTGGGAGAGGACTGAACAGTATTTGTAAATTTTGTTCATTGATTTCTAACGATGAGTTACACAAACATTTACTAAACTAAAAGCAAGGACTTGGGATTTTTCCTAAAGCACTTTAAAATTATTTGTGACTGTTTTGGAATAACATAATCCAGAAAATTTAACTTGTTCCTTTACCGTTTGGGATAACTTATTACTTGTAGTTTATGTTACAGAAATCAGTGCAAGCACTCTGGCATGATGGATATTGGCAGCGGAACCTTTGGCCTGGAGGCCACATGTGGCCCTCTCGGTTCTCAAATTCAGCCCTTTGACTGAACCCAAACTTCACAGAACAAATATCTTTAATAAAAGGATTTGTTCTGTAAAACTTGGACTTGGGGCTGAAGGGAGAGCCAGATGGTGAAGGACTTTAAATGCTAAACATATGAATGCGTATTTTATCCTAAAGGTAATAAATAAGGAGCCCACTGAGCTTCTTGACAAGGTAATGTCATGGTTATACCTGTGCTTTAGGAATATTACTTTAGCAGCTGTGTGAAGGCTAGATTGAAGAGATGAGAGACCTGAAGCAGAAGAATTAGCACCTGGCTGTTGCAATAGTTCAGGTGAGAGCTGATGTTGACCTGAACTAGGGTGGTGTCTGAGATCAGAGAGAAAGGGATGGATGAGAGAGATGTGAAAATAGATTGAATTAAGAGTTGGCAATTAATTAATTATGGGGTAAAGAAAAGTTAAGAGTTGAGAATGATTATATAGTTGTGAAACTCAGTGACCGGAAGAATCATTGGTGGTACCCTCAGCAGAAACAGAGATGGGACTTTTGGGGAAAGATAATGAATTCTGTTTTGGATATGTTGATTTTGAGATGCCTATGGAAATCCAGTTAGACGTGTCTAGTAGGTAGTTAGAGATGCAGGACTAACACTCAGAAGAGAGATCAAGAAGAGACTAAAGACTCCCAGAAAGAAATTTAGTAGTCATCCGCATAGAGATGGTAATTGAATTAACATGTCAAAAACTTATTAGTTGCTGTGCTTCAGGCAAAGAGCTCCAACAGATGCTTGGATAAAAAAAAAACATCAAGAATTTTTGGGCTTAGAAAGTAGCTCGGTGGCCATCTAGTCCAATTCCACACGTGAATGGAATACCAGTATAACCTACCTGGTAAATGGTCATCCAGCCCCTTCTAATAAGGGGAATTCATTTCCATGACAATTCACTCCACTTTTGGATAGCTCTAATTGTGAGGAGGTTTTTCCCGACATCAAGTCCAAATTTGTCTTTCAACCAGTGTTCATGGTTCTTTCCTCTCAGGCCAAGTAGATCACGTGTAATCCCTGCTTCCCATGAAGGATTTTAAGTCCCCCTTCACGTATTTGAACATGACTGTCATATTTTCCTTCAATGCCAAACATTCTCCATTCTTAAAATTCATAGGGTTTAGACTGAAGACCCTTCCATCCTCTTTACCCTACTCTATATATCACTCTCTTTATCCTGCCCTATGTAGTGTTTCTGGACAGCCAGGTGGCATAATGGATAGAGCCTGGAATCAGGAAGACCTAAGTTAGAATATGGCCTCAGATACTTACCAGTTTATGATCCTGGGCAAGTCACTTAACCCTTTTGCCTCAGTTTCCTTATCTGTAAAATGAGCTGGAGAAGGAAATGGCAAACTACTCCAATATCTTTGCCAAGAAAACCCCAGATGGAATCATAGAGAGTTGGACACAACTGAAACAACTGAACAACAACAATATATTCTCCAAATTATCAATGTCCTTATTAAACGGCAGCATTCTGAATGAAACAGTCATCTAGACGTAGTATGGCTAGGGCAGTGTGGAGAAATTATTGCCTCCTTCTCCTCCTGAAAGAGAGGTTAAGCTACTCAGTGCAGCCCAAGATTTCATTAGCTTCTTTGGCTGCCACATCACTCTGCTGATTAATTACAAATTTGGAATACTTGAAAACTCTTCTTTTCCTGACAAAGTGCTGCCTAACTAAGCCTCTCTGTCCTGTTGATTTTTTTTTTGGACTCGTGTACATTAACCCTTACTAAATTTCTTTTTTTTTTAAATTTTGTTTCTTTTTTTGTTGCTTTTTAAGCTCTGAACTGTCTTCCTCCCTCCACTCCTCACTCTGCATTAGAGAAGGCCACTATTTGACATAGATCAACAGATATAGATACACATATTTATGTGTGTTGTGTGTGTGTAAAATCATGCTATGTAGTTGATTTGAATACTTATAATACTCAGAATAACTTAGTCATTCACAGTTCTTTGAACAATATTGCTGTTACTATATACAGTGTTCTCTTGGTTCTGCTCATTTTCTTCATTACTTCATGCAAGTCTTTCCATGTTTTTCTAAAATCAACCCGTTCATTATTTCTTATAGCATAGTAGCATTCCATCACAATAATATACCATAACTTGTTTAGTCATTCCTCAATTGATGGGCAGCCCCTCAATGTCAAGTTCTTTGCCACTACAAAGAGAGTTGCTATAAATATTTTAGAAAATAAAGGTTCTTTTCCTTTTTCACTGATCACCTTGAAAAACAGATGTAATTGTGGTATTGTTGGGTCAAACGATTGTATGGTTTTATAACTCTTTGTACATCACTCCATCTCCAAAATGTTTGGATCAGTTCACAGTTCCACCAACAGTGTATTAGTGTCCCAATTTTTCCACATCCGCTCCACATCTGTCATTTTCCCCTTCTATCATTTTAGCCAATCTGATAGTTGTAAGATGATGTCTTGAAGTTGTTTTAATTTACATTTCTCTAATCAATAATGATTTACAGCATTTTTGTATGAGTATATATAGTTTTTATTTTTTCATCATAAAATTGCTTGTTCATATCTTTTGACTTGATATAAAAATCCTGATGATTTATGCGGGTTTGCTTTATATTCTGCTTTGCTAAAATTATTGTTTCAACTAAATTTTTATTTGAATCTCTAGAATTTTCCAAGTAGATCATCATATCATCTGGAAAAAGATTGCCCATTCTGATTCCTTCAATTTCTTTTTCTTCTTTTATTGCTATAGCTATTATTTCTAATATAATATTGAATAATATTGGTGTAATTGGGCATCCTTGTTTTACTCCTGATCTTATTGGAAAGGCTTCTAACTTATTCTCATTATAAATAATGCTTACTAATATTTTAGGTAGACGCTTTTTATCATTTTAAGGGGGGAAATCCATTTATACCTAGGCTTTCAAATGTTTTTTTTTTAAGCAGGAATGAATACTGTGTTCTGTCAAAAGCTTTTTCTGTATCTATTGATATAATCATTATCTTTGTTATTGATATAATCAATTATGTTGATAGTTTTCCTTATGTTAAACCATCCCTGCATTCCTGATATAAATCCCACTTGATCACAATCTTTGTGATATAATTGTTGTAGGTCTCCTAGCTAGTATTTTATTTAGGATTTTTGCACCCATATTCGTTAATGAAACTGGTCTATAATTTTCTTTCTCTGTTTTTGGTCTTCCTGGTTTAGGTATCAGGACCATATTTGTTTCATAAAATGAGTATAGTAAGACTACCCCTTTGCCTATTATTCCAGATAATTTATTTAATATTGGAATTAGTTGATCTTTAAATGTCTGGTACAATTTGCTTGTAAATGCATCTGGTCCTGATGCTTTTTTCTTAGAAAGCTCATTTATATGGCCTGTTGAATTTCTTTTTCTAAAATACATTATTTAGATATTCTATTTCCTCTTCTGTTAATCTAGGCAGTTTATATTTTTGTAAATATTCTTCTATTTCACTTAAATTGTTAAATTTACTGGTATATAATTGGGCAAAATAACTCCTAATAATTGCTTTGATTTCATCTTCATTAGTGGTATATTCACTCTTCATTTTTGATACTAGTGATTTGATTTTCTTCTCTATCCTTTTTAAATCATATTAACCAATAGTTTATCTCTTTTATTAGTTAAATTTCATTTAATTAGATTCACTCATTGCTTTGATCTGTTGAGATATTTTTGGATCTCAATTCTGTCATCCAGTATGAAGGCTATCCCTTCAATCTATATTATCCACAAATTTAATGAGTATCCCAGCTCTGTTTTTTACCCAAGTCATTGACAAAAATGTTAAACAGCCTGGGGCAAGCACACATCACTGTAAAACTTCTCTGGAGATTTGCCAAGATGTTGAAACGTTAACAACTACTTAGTAACCAGTTTCAAATCCATTTAATTGTATTATACTCTATTTTACATTTCTCCATATTTTCTATAAGAATAATATGAAATACTTTATCAAATGCTTTGCTAAAATAGAGAGAAATTAGATCTATAGCATTCTCCTGACTTACCAGTCTAGTATGCCTAGAAAACAACAAGGACATAAGGTTAATCTGACATGACCTGTTCTTCAGGAAGCTCTGCTGGCTCTCTGTGATCACGACTTTCTTTTCTGGAT